TCTCGTCTCCCAACAGAGAACCAATCAATCAACAGCTCACTCCCACCTCCCGTCTCCCAACAGAGTATCAATCAATCAACAGCTCACTCCCACCTCCCGTCTCCCAATAGAGAACCAATCAATCAACAACTCACTCCCAGTTCTGTTCACACCTTTGTGGTTAGTTGAATTTCGCTGTACGTACTCTACGGTAGGTTTTAGCCTGTGCCACATCAACCCTCGTCGTCTTTCACGACACGCTTAGTATCTTGTAGAATGACTGAAACAAATGCCAGTACAGACGAGAAGTAGGACGTCAGCTTTACAGTATCACAACTACAAACGACAACAAGAATAATGCTGTTTGAACGCCTTCACCAGCAAATAGACAGTTATATATTTTCCAAAAATACATCAAATCACTCCGCTTCACTTTGAATCCTGTGTGAAATCGGCATCCATGTTTAAAGAGGAGAGGTTGTAGGCCTCGTTCTTGGTCATGGCAGGAATAACATGCTGCAGACGGAGTGGTTCAGAGAGGGTTGGATTAGTTAGTGAATGTTTGGTCTTCAGGGGTAAGACAAACATCTTTTAAGGTAAAACTGTGTTGGGAATTAGGGCTTTAAAACTGCCCCGCGCCCTATTCTATTTGTGGCACATTTCATGTACTATATTTGTGGCACATTTCATGTACTCTATTTGTGGCACATTTCATGTACTCTATTTGTAGCACATTTCATGTACTCTATTTGTGGCACATTTCATGTACTCTATTTGGGGCACATTTCGTGTACTCTATTTGGGGCACATTTCATTTCTTCTTTTTGGGGCACATTTCGTGTACTCTATTTGGGGCACATTTCGTGTACTCTATTTGGGGCACATTTCATTTCTTCTTTTTGTGGCACATTTCATGTACTCTATTTGGGGCACATTTCATGTACTCTATTTGTGGCACATTTCATGTACTCTATTTCTGGCACATTTCATGTACTCTATTTGGGGCACATTTCATGTACTCTATTTGTGGCACATTTCATGTACTCTATTTGGGGCACATTTCATGTACTCTATTTGTGGCACATTTCATGTACTCTATTTGTGGCACATTTCATGTACTCTATTCGGGGCACATTTCATGTACTCTATTTGTGGCACATTTCATGTACTCTATTTGTGGCACATTTCATGTACTCTATTTGGGGCACATTTCATGTACTCTATTTGGGGCACATTTCGTGTACTCTATTTATGGCACATTTCATGTACTCTATTTGGGGCATATTTCATGTACTCTATTTGTGGCACATTTCATGTACTCTATTTGGGGCACATTTCATGTACTCTATTTGTGGCACATTTCATGTACTCTATTTGGGGCACATTTCATGTACTCTATTTGTGGCACATTTCATGTACTCTATTTGTGGCACATTTCATGTACTCTATTTGGGGCACATTTCATGTACTCTATTTGTGGCACATTTCATGTACTCTATTTGTGGCACATTTCATGTACTCTATTTGGGGCACATTTCATGTACTCTATTTGGGGCACATTTCGTGTACTCTATTTATGGCACATTTCATGTACTCTATTTGGGGCACATTTCATGTACTCTATTTGTGGCACATTTAATCTACTTTATTTGGGGCACATTTCGTGTATTAAATTTGTAGCACATTTCACGAACTATATTTGTAGCACATTTCATGTACTCTGTTTGTGGCACATTTTTCTGTGTACGCCGCAGGTGAGAACAATCGAGATCAGCAGAAGTTTGCAGGGATCCATAGGGGTGGCAGCATTACAAATGGTCAGAATCTTCAATCCCTGGCAGGCCAAAGAATGGACTGGTCCTTGGTCAGATGGGTGTGTATTTATGTGTACGTCTGTGTATCTCTGTTTGTGTTGCATGCTGACTTCGTTTTCTCATACTGTATTAACAGACAATAGGCTTGGTGTGCAGGCGAGTAGGCTTGTAGGTAGGAGGTGAAACAAACCTCGAAAGTAAACCGTATTGTGTGTAGGGCTCACCAAGAGCCAGCATTTATTCATTTACCTGCCAACCTGTTCAAATACCAAATTATTATATCGAAGTGTCACTCTGTCTTCTATCTATTACTGGTTCATTTTACGAAGTCCGGCCCAACTGCACACTAGGTGACCTTTCATTCAAGCTTGCTCAGGCAAGTCTATGTGACAGGGGTGTCACGCTGGATTGTCTTCTTATCGCAAAGCTTTCTGCGTTCTTGTGAGCAGCGGCCAGGCACATTGCGTTCTCAGAGTGTTCAGTTGGGCCGAACTTCAAACAATGAACCCCACCATTTGTTAGGGCAGGGTAGAGATGTGGTTTATGAGATCAATGGTGTAAGAACATTGCTCTACCAAAGTAACTCCGTCGCGAGCTCCTAAATCTACCAATTGTTAGAGCGGAGCAGGACAGTGTTAGTGTTTGTGTTCACAACTGCCCAGGAACAGCTGATGAAAGTAGAAAAATATGCACAACAATAGAAAGAAAAAAAAAACAGCTTTGCTGCTGACATGACAAACATAGAGGCATGAGGAATCTGGTGATCACCGGAAAGATGATACAGATGTGGTGTGGTCTGAAACTGTGATGTGGACAAATGTCATGAGAAAAAAAAAGTCACAGAATACCAAGGCGACATCCATGCCCAGACATGAACACCAAGGCACATGATGATGATGAACACTAATTATTGAACCTGTTGTGTTCCTAATCAGGTCGGCAGAGTGGCAGAAGATTCCCAAGAACGAGTGGGCCAAAATGGGCGTCAAGTTTGAAAACGAGGGCGAATTCTGGTAATGTAAATCAATCAACTATTTATGATTTTTTTTTTTTTTTTTTGTTATGGTCCTAACCTTGATCATCTTCGTCCTCGTTGCCGTCATCATCATCATTATCATCGTTATGGTTATTTTTACTTATTGGTATACAAAGGACTCGTGGTGTAAACTTACTTCCCTCCTGTTCAATCTTGTGCAGTTGTTATGGATGGAATCCAGGCCAGCCGGTATTAACTTTCTCTTCAATGTTTGTTACACAATCGTGGATGGAATCCAGGCCAGCCGGTATTAACTCTCTCATCAATGTTTGTTACACAATCGTGGATGGAATCCAGGCCAGCAGATATTAACTCTCTCATCAATGAATGTTACACAATCGTGGATGGAATCCAGGCCAGCAGATATTAACTCTCTCATCAATGTTTGTTACACAATCGTGGATGGAATCCAGGCCAGCCGGTATTAACTCTCTCATCAATGTTTGTTACACAATCGTGGATGGAATCCAGGCCAGCCGGTATTAACTCTCTCATCAATGAATGTTACACAATCGTGGATGGAATCCAGGCCAGCAGGTATTAACTCTCTCATCAATGTTTGTTACACAATCGTGGATGGAATCCAGGCCAGCAGATATTAACTCTCTCATCAATGTTCCACTGAGGGGTTCTTATGGACGTCCTAGTATCCCTAGTTTGTTTCTAACTCCAGTGCTTGTTTTGTGATTCTCTGTTCACTTCTCCTCGGTATGTTCCCTAACTCCAGTGCTTGTTTTGTGATTCTCTGTTCACTTCTCCTCGGTATGTTCCCTAACTCCAGTGCTTGTTTTGTGATTCTCTGTTCACTTCTCCTCGGTATGTTCCCTAACTCCAGTGCTTGTTTTGTGATTCTCTGTTCACTTCTCCTCGGTATGTTCCCTAACTCCAGTGCTTGTTTTGTGATTCTCTGTTCACTTCTCCTCGGTATGTTCCCTAACTCCAGTGCTTGTTTTGTGATTCTCTGTTCACTTCTCCTCGGTATGTTCCCTAACTCCAGTGCTTGTTTTGTGATTCTCTGTTCACTTCTCCTCGGTATGTTCCCTAACTCCAGTGCTTGTTTTGTGATTCTCTGTTCACTTCTCCTCGGTATGTTCCCTAACTCCAGTGCTTGTTTTGTGATTCTCTGTTCACTTCTCCTCGGTATGTTCCCTAACTCCAGTGCTTGTTTTGTGATTCTCTGTTCACTTCTCCTCGGTATGTTCTCTATATAGCCAATTTTTTTTTTTAACTTCATATTCTTAATATGCATATTTTTAAAAAAGCATAACATTTTTATTGATAAAATACAACTGCTGTGTGAAAGATAGATGCCTGGAGGGCCGAATGTAGGACAGGCCTGCGTGCCCAATTTGTGACCCTTTGAAAACAAAGTTCGTTCATTGGCTATCTTTTTTGTTGTTATAACTGTTGGTATCAGTGATTGTCAAGACATTTCACTGGGTTTCTTCAGATTTTATGAAATCTCCCCCCCCCCCCCCCTCATGTAAAGCTCGCCAATTCCGTTACGAATTTATGATAGTCATGTTGCCGAAACAAAGACAACCTGTTGGTTTCCATACCCAGTGTGTTGAAGGCGTGAAAAGTGTGCATTGCGGTATTTTCTTGCGCTGTATTTTGTCTCTGTCAAACATCAAATACCTAGTTGCTGTCTCACCTGACATGTTCCTTTGTCAGGATGTCGTTTGATGACTTCATTAGCCACTTCACGGATTTAGACATCTGCCACTTTGTCAATACAAGTTTCTTCACATTGAAAAAATCCTGGAGCGAGTCGCTGATTTTTGGTTCATGGAGCAGCGCCGGCAGAAGTGGAGGGAATGTCTTCGAGTCAAACACTTTCTTGAGCAACCCACAGGTAAAGTGTGCTAATTGGCGGTCTCTCCATGTTTGCTAGCATTTCGCTTTGATAAAGGTAACGTCTGCCTTTCTGCAGCTGCCCAAACCTGACATTCCACAGAAGATTCATCAACTCGAGCGACGTTATCAGGTCAATTTAGAGAATACAATTATGTATGTGTGTATAGACAAGTGGGAGCCGCCATGGTGGAGTGGCTAGAGGCTAGCCTGCCAGCCCTAACGTGCTGGGTTCAAATCTGCTTTGAGATGAATTTATTTTTAATTAACTTTGGCTGTCACGTCAACCTAGACTAACAGGAGTCGCATTTAACATGCTAGGAGGTAAATGCGGTCGGTGGGTTGCTGATCACATCACTGAACACATCACTGATCACATCACTGATTACATCCCATATCACATCACTGATCACATCACTGATTACATCCCATATCACATCACTGATCACATCCCATATCACATCACTGATCACATCCCATATCACATCACTGATCACATCACTGATCACATCACTGATTACATCACTGATCACATCACTGATCACATCACTGATCACATCACTGATCACATCACTGATCACATCACTGATCACATCACTGATCACATCCCATATCACATCACTGATCACATCACTGATCACATCACTGATCACATCACTGATCACATCACTGATCACATCACTGATCACATCACTGATCACATCACTGATCACATCACTGATTACATCCCATATCACATCACTGATCACATCACTGATTACATTCCATATCACATCACTGATCACATCCCTGACCACATTCCATATCACATCACTGATCACATCCCATATCACATCACTGATCACATCACTGATCACATCACTGATCACATCACTGATTACATCACTGATCACATCACTGATCACATCACTGATCACATCACTGATCACATCACTGATTACATCACTGATCACATCACTGAATACATCACTGATCACATCACTGATCACATCACTGATCACATCACTGATTACATCACTGATCACATCACTGACCACATCACTGATCACATCACTGACCACATCACATAACACATTACTGATTACATCACTGATCACATCACTGATTACATCACTGATCACATCACTGATTAAATCACTGATCACATCACTGATTACATCACTGATCACATCACTGACCACATCACATAACACATCACTGATCACATCACTGACCACATAACTGATCACATCACTGATCACATCACTGACCACATCACTGATCACATCACTGATCACATCACTGATTACATCACTGATCACATCACTGATTACATCACTGATCACATCACTGACCACATCACATAACACATCACTGATCACATCACTGATCACATCACTGACCACATCACTGATCACATCACTGATCACATCACTGACCACATCACTGATCACATAACTGACCACATCACTGATCACATCACTGATCACATCACTAACCACATCACTGATCACATCACTGATCACATCACTGATCACATCACTGATCACATCACTGACCACATCACTGATCACATCACTTGTTAAGGGCCGATTAGCCTGGGTCAAACGGTGAGCTTCTTTTATTATACCAAAGGATTCAGTGTAATGGAGGTCATGTTTAATCGAATGTAAAGTATAATCTACCAGAGTTGCCGACCATAACCCAGATAACAACAATAGTGTAAACAAACAATCGCCACCATGCTGGTAAAACAGACGATGTGGGTGAAAACTTTGTAGGTAGGACAAGTTTCGGGACTTGAGGGTTTCTGGACACTGGAGGTTACTGGACAGTGCAGGTTACTGGACACTGAAGGTTACTGGACACTGGAGGTTACTGGACACCGGAGGTTACTGGACACTAGAGGTTACTGGACACCGGAGGTTACTGGACACTGAAGGTTACTGGACACTGAAGGTTACTGGACACTGCAGGTTACTGGACACTGGAGGTTACTGGACACTGAAGGTTACTGGACACTGCAGGTTACTGGACACTAGAGGTTACTGGACACTGCAGGTTACTGTACACTGCAGGTTACTGGACACTGAAGGTTACTGGACACTGCAGGTTACTGGACACTGAAGGTTACTGGACACCGGAGGTTACTGGACACTGAAGGTTACTGGACACTGAAGGTTACTGGACACTGCAGGTTACTGGACACTGGAGGTTACTGGACACTGAAGGTTACTGGACACTGCAGGTTACTGGACACTAGAGGTTACTGGACACTGCAGGTTACTGTACACTGGAGGTTACTGGACACTGTAGGTTACTGGACCCTAGAGGTTACTGGACACTGCAGTTTACTGGACACTGGAGGTTACTGGACACTAGAGGTTGCTGAACACTGGATGTTACTGGACACTGGAGGTTACTGGACACTGGAGGTTACCGGACACTGCAGTTTACTGGACAATGGAGGTTACTGGACACTGGAGGTTACTGGACACTGGAGGTTACTGGACACTGGAGGTTACTGGACACTGGGGGTTACTGGACACTGGGGGTTACTGGACACTGGAGGTTACTGGACACTGGGGGTTACTGGACACTGGAGGTTACTGGACACTGGGGGTTACTGGACACTGGAGGTTACTGGACACTGGGGGTTACTGGACACTGGAGGTTACTGGACACTGGGGGTTACTGGACACTGGAGGTTACTGGACACTGGGGGTTACTGGACACTGGAGGTTACTGGACAATGCATGATACTGGACACTGGAGGTTACTGGACACTGGGGGTTACTGGACACTGAAGGTTACTGGACACTGCATGATACTGGACACTGGAGGTTACTGGACACTGGAGGTTACTGGACACTGGAGGTTACTGGACACTGGAGGTTACTGGACACTGCATGATACTGGACACCAGAGGTTACTGGACACTTAAGGTTACTGGACACTGCATTTTACTGGACACTGAAGGCTACTGGATACTGCAGGTTACTAGACACTAGAGGTTACTGGACACTGGAGGTTACTGGACACTGGAGGCTACTGGACACTGGAGGTTACTGGACACTGGAGGTTACTAGACACTAGAGGTTACTAGACACTGGAGGTTACTGGACACTGCATGATACTGGACACTGGAGGTTACTGGACACTGGAGGTTACTGGACACTGCATGATACTGGACACTGGAGGTTACTGGACACTGGAGGTTACTGGACACTGGAGGTTACTGGACACTGGAGGTTACTGGACACTGCATGATACTGGACACTGGAGGTTACTAGACACTGGAGGTTACTGGACCCTGGAGGTTACTGGACACTACATGATACTGGACACTGGAAATTACTGGACACTGCATGATACTGGACACTGAAGGTTACTGGACACTAGAGGTTACTGGACACTTAAGGTTACTGGACACTGCATTTTACTGGACACTGAAGGCTACTGGATACTGCAGGTTACTAGACACTAGAGGTTACTGGACACTGGAGGTTACTGGACACTGGAGGTTACTGGACACTAAGGTTACTGGACACTGGAGGTTACTGGACACTAGAGATTACTGAACACTGGAGGTTACTGGACACTAAGGTTACTGGACACCGGAGGTTACTGAACACTAGAGAATACTGGACACTGGAGGTTACTAGACACTGGAGGTTACTGAACACTAGAGGTTACTAGACACTGGAGGTTACTGGACACTGGAAGTTACTGGACACTGGAGGTTACTGGACACTAGAGGTTACTGGACACTGGAGGCTACTGGACACTAGAGGTTACTGGACACTGGAGGCTACTGGACACTGGAGGCTACTGAACACTGGAGGCTACTGGACACTGGAGGCTACTGGACACTGGAGGTTACTGGACACTGGAGGTTACTGGACACTGGAGGCTACTGGACAGATGGGTTTGGATAGTCAACGTCGACTGTCGTCTTCCGCAGTTTAGAATGGGAAATTATCGCGGCTGGGGTGACTTTATGACAGTGACTATAGCGGCTGGGATTACTTTATGACAGTGACTATCCCGGCTACGGATACTTTGTGACTATAGCGGCTGGGATTACTTTGTGACAGTGACTATAGTGGCTGGGATTACTTTGTGACAGTGACTATAGCGGCTGGGATTACTTTGTGACAGTGACTATCCCGGCTACGGATACTTTGTGACTATAGCGGCTGGGATTACTTTGTGACAGTGACTATAGCGGCTGGGATTACTTTGTGACAGTGACTATAGCGGCTGGGATTACTTTGTGACAGTGACTAAAGCGGCTGGAATTACTTTGTGACAGTGATATCGCTGCTGGGATTACTTTGTGACAGTGACTATCGCGGCTGTGATTACTTTGTGACAGTGACTATAGCAGCTGGGATTACCTCATGACAGTGACTATAGCCGCTGGGATTACTTTGTGACAGTGACTATAGCGGCTGGGAATACCTCATAACAGTGACTATAGCGGCTGCGATTACATTATGACAGTGACTATAGCGGCTGGGATTAATATATGATAGTGACTACAGCGGCTGGGATTACTTTATGACAGTGACTATAGCGGCTGGGATTACTTTATGATAGTGAGACTATAGCAGCTGGGATTACTTTATGATAGTCAGACTATAGCGGCTGGGATTACTTTGTGACAGTGACTATAGCAGCTGGGATTACATTATGACAGTGACTATAGCGGCTGGTATTACTTAATGATAGTGAGACTATAGCGGCTGGGATTACATTATGACAGTGACTATAGCGGCTGGGATTACTTTGTGACAGTAGCTATAGCGGCTGGGATTACTTTGTGACAGTGACTATCGCGGCTGGGATTACTTTGTGACAGTGACTATCCCGGCTGGGATTACTTTATGACAGTGACTATAGCGGCTGGGATTACTTTATGGCAGTGACTATCGCGGCTGTGATTACTTTATGACAGTGACTATCGCGGCTGTGATTACTTTATGACAGTGACTATCGTGGCTGGGATTACTTTATGACAGTGACTATCGCGGCTGTGATTACTTTATGACAGTGACTAACGTAGACTTATGTTTATGTTTCGGGTAGACTGATGGTCTTCTGTGTGCTTGGATGTGTTGTTGGATGTGTTGTTAGATGTGTTGTTAGATGTGTGCTTGGATGTGTTGTTAGATGTGTGCTTAGATGTGTTGTTAGATCTGTTGTTAGATGTGTTGTTAGATGTGTGCTTGAATGTGTTGTTAGATGTGTTGTTAGATGTGTTGTTGGATGTGTTGTTAGATGTGTTGTTAGATGTGTTGTTAGATGTGTGCTTGGATGTGTGGTTGGGTGTGTTGTTAGATGTGTTGTTAGATGTGTTGTTGGATGTGTTGTTAGATGTGTTGTTAGATGTGGTGTTAGATGTGTTGTTAGATGTGTTGTTAGATGTGTTGTTAGATGTGTGCTTGGATGTTTTGTTAGATGTGTTGTTAGATGTGTTGTCAGATGTGTTGTTGGATGTGTTGTTGGATGTGTTGTTAGATGTGTTGTTAGATGTGTTGTTGGATGTGTTGTTAGATGTGTTGTTAGATGTGTTGTTAGATGTGTTGTTAGATGTGTTGTTAGATGTGTTGTTAGATGTGTTGTTAGATGTGTTGTTAGATGTGTTGTTAGATGTGTTGTTAGATGTGTTGTTGGATGTGTTGTTAGATGTGTTGTTAGATGTGTTGTTGGATGTGTTGTTAGATGTGTTGTTAGATGTGTTGTTAGATGTGTGCTTGGATGTGTTGTTAGATGTGTTGTTAGATGTGTTGTTAGATGTGTTGTTAGGTGTGTTGTTGGATGTGTTGTTGGATGTGTTGTTAGATGTGTTGTTACATGTGTTGTTAGATGTGTTGTTAGATGTGTTGTTGGATGTGTTGTTGGATGTGTTGTTAGATGTGTTGTTAGATGTGTTGTTAGATGTGTTGTTAGATATGTTGTTAGATGTGTTGTTAGATGTGTTGTTAGATGTGTTGTAGGGTGTGTTGTTAGATGTGTTGTTAGATGTGTTGTTGGATGTGTTGTTAGATGTGTTGTTAGATGTGTTGTTAGATGTGTTGTTAGATGTGTTGTTAGATGTGTTGTTAGATGTGTTGTTAGAAGTGTTGATAGATGTGTTACACGTTGAACTATGTTTTTAATCTAGTATTGAGGGCCCATCTCAGCAGGCCAGGTACCATACCCATCGACACGAGAGCCTGCTGACGACTCTAATAGGGCTGCGGTTACAGCAGGCATTGGTCAGATGACCAAATGAGACCGAGGTCCTGTCTGTAACCATGATCGTATCTGGGGGAGGGTGGGTTTTGGTTGAGAAAGCGGGCAGTTTCATTAATACTGTCACAGTGAGTGTAAACAAAGATCACGTGAGATTCTAGCCAGGTATTGGCGTGTTGTGTGTCTAACTGTGTGTTCTGTCATGGGTACTGTCAACGTCGAGCCAAACGATTGTACATGTTTCGTTGAGAGGGATAGATAGAGAGATCGATGTGCACAGGCCAATACTAGACCTACCATAT